TGGATATAAAATACACATATCAATTGATGGTGGTGTACTACTGTATCATGGTCATACTAAAACATTTTCATAAAATAGAAAAAAATAGTTTCCCTCTATTCTAAAAAAATAAATATAATTTTAGAAAATTTTTCAAAATAAGTGTCATTCTCATACTACAATGCATAATTTGTCGATATTTTTCAAAGTTATCCTCCATGAAAGTACAACATTAATAATATCTATTTGTTTTAATGGGTAAGTTAGAAATGATTTAGTAATTTTTATATCAAAATTAAATATTTTAAATAGTGTGCGTGTTGTAAAAAAACCTTAATCCCAAAGTCAATTGCCACAAATTGAGTTCACCCAGTATAATAACAAAATTGACTAGTGTGTGTGTTGTATAATGACAATGACACTTATTTTAGTCTTTTAGAATGGAGGGAGCAACAATTTTATAATCACACTACATTAAAGTTGGGGAATATTTGTTTGAGTTTGGTAGTCCTCCTTGTGATTATCACATACATTTCTCTCTTCCTTTTCTACAAAATACTAGTGATGTCTGATGCGCGACCCTGGCCCAGTCTATCGGTAGATTTTAGAAATATTTTATATTTGAAATTTTTTTTTTTTATATTTGGAGCGATATATTTTAGAAATGTTTGAAGGATTTAGAAATGTTTTATAAGTGTGATCATAGAAATATTTGTATTTCGCAAAAAAAAAAAAAATAATATTTTGCCATGTATGTTTTATAAGTGTTACTTATTAAATATAAATAGCTTAATCGAATATATGTGTTGAAGTAAATGTTAGATAAAATATAAAAGCATCCTAATAAATTTAAATATTAGTAAGATGATTTATTGATGTTCTCCATTGATCGTGCCAAATCAATACTTAGTTTTGGAGATTTTTAATAGCTTTGTAATAAGCTTCATCCGAAGGGTATACGCTTAAAACAAAATTGACACTTTGTAACAAAAAACCTAATTGATCAATTCAATTTAAAAAACCACTCTAGTTGAATGAAACATAAAGAAAAAATTAAAAAAAAAACGTGTCACGTAAAGTGCAAAGGGAGATTTAGTAATTTAGTTATGGTTAGACAAAAGGGCAATTTATTATTTTCTACATGCCACGTGGCAATCATATGAGGTGTTTGAAAGGGAGGTTTTTGTTTCTAATATAGTAGGATATATATATCTGTGTGTGTGTGGGGGGGCGGGGGGAAATTGCCCTATATATGTGTGTGTGTGTGTGTGTTTGCACTCTGTGTGTGGGAAATTTAATAATCCTGTCAATGATTTTTTACTGAAATATCCAGTTAAATTCTATCCAATCAAAACTAATCGCCACAAATGTGCTCATGGGTGAGAATCATTGTAAAAATCCAAATTAATTCCTAATTTACTTAGATTGTACTATATTAATTTTTTTATTATTACCAAGATTACATCGTAAACTCATTTTCATTTTCCAAGATAATCCGACTACAACAGAACGTTCAATTACTTCAAAAGCCAAGATTATATTTCACTTGGTAAAAAGCTTGCACAAAACAACTGCGAAAATTATGCATGCTTTCCATCGAAATTGGTACATATCAAGCACATATGTTCGAGTTTTGTTTTTGTCCTAAAAAGTTCCTAAAAGAACAGGTGGTGTCAAAATGTTCAAGAAAGGCTTACAATTTTTCTAAAGGGAAATAATTTACATTGGCACAACAAGGCCAGGTACAGAAACACGCGAGAAACATCATCAAATACAAACATTAGTATTGACATAGAGTAAGTAAGAGCATTAGATGTCAACTTTTCGAATCGCCTGATTGCCTAATCCGGGTAGCACAAAGAACACTACACAATAACCCAACCCTCTTAACAGTCTGAAAAAAAAAAATTACAATTCCTTTTAGCCAGAAAGTAAGTTAATTTGAATTTGATCCATATGGTTTCCCTAGGCAAGAATGATCTGTTCATCTAGGACCAGCTCCACCACTGTACATTAAATTGAAACCATTTCGATTTCCTTGGATTTTGCAACTAACATGATTCAAACGAAGTCCGATGGGGACTAACATGATTTTTTTTATCGTGCAAAAAACACATAACATTATCATCAATTCATCACCAACTGTGCTTATTCCCCTCAGCAAAGTAATCATTGGAAGATTATAAATGGCACTAGGTTTTTTTTTTTTTTAAATTTTTGCAGGGTATCCACCGTCGGCAACAGTGACTAATCCCCCCTCGCTGAATTGTAACTACCTCGATGAGTGAGATAACTGATCAAAGTATTTAAGATTGTTCTATATCCATAGCGAGGTTCGAACCCTCAACTTATGGTTAAGGGTGGAGGAGTCACTTTCGCTCCACCACAACCATTATGGTTAATGGCAGTAGGTAATGATTTTTAGGCTCCATATCTACCATGTCCTGGTGGTAATCATTAGTTCATGATTTTTATAGCAAGGAACAATAACAGCAAAACTTTCATCACTTTGGAAATCAGGGACGTGTAGTTCTGACCACCCAATTAACCAGCCGAGTCGTCGGATTACAAACACCATCAGATAGCACGAACACAACATCATTCTCTGTATCAACTTTTCTCCTTTTCTCTCTACCCTTCCATTTCCTCTTAACTTTAGAAGAAACCATCTTTCCGTGGCTGTAATAAAAGTAAACTTCATATGGTGCGGGTCTTTTAACCCGAAACCCCAATCAAGCAATGAATTAGCTGATATCCCATTAGACACCTGGGTCTTTTTCCTTGTTTCCCCACCGCACCGGGGAAATTTGGCCAAACAAACAATTTCCAGTTAAGTCTTTTTAGCAAAAAATAAAAAATAAAAATAAAATAAAACTGAACGAGTAACATAAAATTGAGGTAGTAAAAAAATAAAAATAAAACATAATAGGATGAAGAGTTGGCTTAAGCAGGCGAAATGCATCCTTTCATGTTTTTTTAACAAACCCATCATTTATGAAGATTGTTTCCGAACTGCGTCCAATTAAGATACTGAGAAAAGGGGAGTCACTGAATTTCCATTCAAATAAGTAAAATACTTTTAGATAAAAAGGAGCCTCATTTTTCCTTCGCATTGGGTTTAAGATCCTTTCTTTGAGGCAATAAAACAAACTGTCTTGAACCAATAATTAAGGATAGAGTGTTAAGAAAATAAGAGTTGAGGTAGAAATGGGAATCTTGGTGCGGGTGAAATTTTGGGAGAAAGAAAGAAACGGATAATTCATGAAAATTATCCTGTGGATTTAGATTTTGTTTCTTTTATGATACACCATATTTGATCCTACGTTGATAATTAATTATACTTATCTAACGGTTAAAATTATTGACTAAATCGTTTAGTTGACTGAACTGTAGCCGCCCTTATGTGTGTGGATAATTTTTTGGTAATATACCATCACTTGTATATAAGTCTCTTATTCTCTTCTTATGTTTAACTTTTCCCATTTCCTCTAATTTACCATCACCATTATGATTCTTTAATTTTCATTCAATCCCCTAATAATAGTTAGTAATATAGTATCACATGCATTTATACGAGTCTCTTCTTTTCCTTTTGTTCAATTTTCTCTGTTTCCTTAAATTCACCATCCTAAATATAATTTATTATTATTTTTTTCAATTCTCTAATAATGGTTTCACTATTTTATTCATTACGGGATTCATTTAATCCCTAGAGCTACAAGTTTTGTTTCATCTTCCTTTTTATTAATTCCATTTTCTTTTCTCAATTTTATTTTCTCTGATTTCCTACACTTCAAATAAAACACTTTTGGTTGACAATCGCTTTGATGTTAGCCCTCCTTTGTACTTGGATTTTCTCTCGAATGTCTAATTCCTCATTAGCTTCCTATTCCTATGAAGAGAAATCATATAGTTTACTCTCCAGTTAATTGAGCACAATGTCTAAGATTCTATTTTAATTTAAACTAGAACAAATAAAAATATTTAGAGAATAAAAAATAATTTTGAATATTTTTTTAAATATTTTTCTGCATCTCTCTTATGCTTTGTATTATGCATATTATGTTTTAGTATCATTTGCTTTTAAATGTTGGATTGATTCGGTCTTTTTTTTCCTCTATATTTTGAATGTTTATATGCATCCAAGATATTTGTTTGAACGTTTGAATGTTTAAGTAATAATTATGTTTTTTATTTTTTACATTTTAGTAACACACTCACAGTTGTAAGGATGTTTTTATGCTCCTATAGATACCACTATCATAGTGAGAAGAATAAAAAGCTCTACGATAATATGATTTTTTTTTTTTTTTAAAAAAAAGAGTGGCAAGATTTAGAAACACGAATTCAAAGCAAACTTGGGAAGTGAAGGTCAAGTACATATGTGTTTTTCGTTTTCATGAGTTGATTTAGGTTAATTATTTGGAAATAGAATAGTTTTGTTTTAAGTATAACTTTTCACAGTTACAATTTATACATGTATCGAAGTATATTTTTATTTTGAATGTAGAAAATTTATTTTTTAGTTACATATTTTTACTTTTAGGTAAATACAAGATTATTAATATTGTTGTCGTCATTAAATTCATTCAATAGAATCATTAATTTAGCATCATTTTTCTGCATTTCTTTTTCTATTGTTCCTCAATTTATTATCTTCTATTATTTTCGTTAATTTAGTAGTAATAACAAATATTGTGTGACACTTGGGTACTTATTATTGTGAGGAAAAGAAAAGGAGAAAAAAAATTTCTCGTTTAAAATGGCCGGCAATTCAACTTATCCGAAATTCACTCCACCTCTGTGATTCATCTTTTCCCTCCTAAAACGCCATGACCATCCTCAATACATCAAATCTCTGCTCTCCAATTTCTTCGTTTCCTCTCAAATTCCAGTTCCAATTGTATTCCAAACTACCCATTTCCCTGTCAATCAAATCCCTTAAACCCTCTCACAAAATCATCCAATGTACACAAGAATCATCTCCTCCCAAGCCTAACAAATCCAGAAAAAAGCAGACCATGAATAACCCAAATTCCAGTTCCAAACCTTACAAGAAAAGATCTTCCTATGGTACTTCCAGAAAATCAGCTATGAAGAAGAGCTTTTCTCAAGAACAAGTTTGTTTTAGTGGGCCAGTTTCAAGCGACCCTGTAGTTGGAATTGTTGGCGGGGGTATGTCCGGCCTCGTTTGCGCTTTGTATTTGGAGAAAAGAGGGATTCGTTCTACTGTTTTTGATACGGTTCGTTTGTTGAATTCCAACAATTTTTGCATTTTCGTAGCTTCTTTATTATTATGATAAATTTATTTCAGTTTTTCAATGGCAGTAAAGACAAAGTTGTCTGTGTGATTGCTGCAGCATTTGATTTTGCTAGTTGATGAGTTTGGCTTGTTAGTATCTTATTTCATGGCTTCGTTAGTTTGGATTCATTGTCGGAGGTAGTCTTGTTTTCTGCAATATTGAGTGCTGAAATAATTTTTGGTTGGAATGTTAATGGTTTGAGAAATTATCCTGCAAATTAACCCCTCTTCTCCGTTTTGAAGATAATTAGGTATCAGTAGGTAGGTGTCAGTAGCTGACTTAGTTTGAAGTGGGAATAAGAAAGGTTGATGGAGGGCTCTATGAAATGGTTAAAAATGTCTGTTTTATATAATCTCCTTTTGTTTTTTTGGTTAAGCATATATTCCCTTTTAGTTTGTAAACGAATGTTAGTAAAATGTTTGCGAATTGGAGAGGTAGAGGAAGGGAGGGAGAAGGGAAGAGGGAGATGGGAATGATATACTTGGGAAATAGATTCCAAAATTTACCAGGATATTTCTTCAATTTTTTTGTCCGCTTGATAGACATTTGATGTTTTTTCGGAAGTTAGTTGTTTGATTATATCATATTTTTCCTATTTTGGAGAAGTGTAAACTCTAGCTTTCTTGATGGTTTTGTACTTCAGGGTCTACATGGGCTGGGAGGAAGAATGGGAACAAGAGTTATCGATCCCGAGTCATTGATATTTGACCATGCAGCTCAATTTTTCACTGTAAGTGATCCTCGGTTTGCTGAACTAGTAGAGTTTTGGATGAAAGAAGGTATTGTGCAAGAATGGCAGGGTACAATCGGGGAGCTTGAAGCTGGTGGCCATTTCAAACCTTTGCCCAGTTGTCCACCCAGATACATTGGTGTGAATGGAATGCGCCCACTTGCAGAGTCAATTCTTTCTCAGGTAATAACACATTTCTCTTTCATTAAAACTTCCTGGCGAGGGTTGTTCATTCTTCCTTTTATGGATATACCTCCTCTCTGGCTCTCGCGCTGCCAATTATTCATTACTGAGACAGATCGCGTGTATAATGTGTTTCTCAGCTGGTGCTGTTTAGTTAACTGAGAATTTAATTATTCTGGAGTGCAAATCATATTGTTGGGTTTGTCTCTCTTACTCATTTATTTTATATTCTGGTTTTTACATATTACTGGTAATCTCTTTCAGCCACTTGTTATATTTAAATGTCGTGGTATGATAGATGATGGGGGCAATGATTGAAACATTGATCTGCATTCATATTCGTTGATATGGGTTGACCATTGATGATAATAATTTCTATTACCACCGTTAATGTCTACTTGCCCACTTGATGCGTATTGATGCTGACATTAGGCTTATAGGGTTCAAGTGGTCCAATTCTTTGGGACTTGGCCTTTAAGCATAGAATTTGTTCCAACTCCAATGCAAAGCCCCAGTAGGGTGAAGAATCAACTCCAATTAGGTCAAAGTTTTTAAAAGTTATAAATGTAAAGAAACTTTGTTACATCATGTAGGATTGGGCATCGTAGTTATTTTCTGAACTCATGTGATGTTTATTAAGTAAATGGCACTGTGATAGCAGTGATAAAGTATTTTGATTTTCATACCGACTTTGTTACCTAAATAAAGTTATACTCCCTCCATCCTGAAATTATTGTCCGGTTTGAATTTTCATTTTTTTTTTCTATAAATTACACTAAAAGTGAAAATCTAAACTGGACAATAATTTGGGGACAGAGGAGTGTCTACCTTAGTAATATTTTTTACTTCATCACTTCTTAGTGGAACTACATTCTGTGATGTTGCTCGTAAAGAGATTGCATAACCCCTAACAGTAAGAAGTAGCTTGTAAAGAATGTTCAATCATCAAAGATTACCAGTATAGTGTTGGTCGAAAAAGCTAACTCCAACATAATGTGTGATTTCTCCTAGTAAATTCATGACAATGTATGTCACTAATCCTTGTGGAGTCGCATGGCCCAGTTGGTAGGGCCTTTGTGAAAGGTACCATAGGTCCTAGGTTCGACGCTCACATGGGGATATGTAGGAGGGGCGGGGCAAGGGTTTTCAAGGAAAAAAGAATATCACCTATATTAGGCATTGACTTCTCATTTGCTTATTGCCTTGGATTTTGCTGCTTTATTGTTTTTGGTAAACTAGTTACTTATATGCATTCCACAAGGGAAACCTTTATCATAAGAACATTTCTCGTTTGACTTAAATTGCTGTCCAAGACTTTAAGATGGTAGCTATTTAATGATTACCAAGTATATTCTTGGTCCAAAAAGCAAACTCCAACAATGTGTGAAGTTCCCCTATGTAAAATTTATGACACAGCATGTCACTAATCCTTTCTTTTATTAGCCATTGAATGGACATTTACTTTGCCTTGGAAATTGCTCCTTTATTGTGTTAGCTAAAAAACTAGTTATTCATATGCATTCCACAAGGGGAACCTTTGTTATAAGAAATTCTTGTTTGACTATGGTTGTTATCCAAGAGTTAAGTTTGTAGCTTTTTAAATAAGTTATGAATCTGATAGATGTCAGAAGGACTAACTATTGTTGGGCAGGACCCTAAATTCTGTACATTTTAAAAAGATGGGCTACTTATAAGAAAACACTTCTGTGAAAATAATGCTCAGACTCTATGATGGTTGCAAAGTGGCTCTCAAAAGTCCCAAGAAGTTGTTAATCTTGTGATTCCTAGGTTGTCTTTGATTTTATTTTATTTCTTACAGCAGATCTATTCAATTATTGGTGGGGATATTCCCCATTAGTCCTACAGCTTTAATTTTTTTTTTTTTCTTTTTTGGACTTTATTGATGTCAAGACTGGTTGTTGCAGTAATAATCCTTGCATATGCAGACTCAATTGGTTAATGTGGTGCGACCTTGCTGGGTTAGTACGCTTGAGGCATTTAATGGAATGTGGCACTTGAGCGAGAAAGGAAAACACTGCGGGCAGTTTGATGCAGTTGTTATTGCACACAATGGTAATATTTCTGCTTGGGATATGCAATCACTGCTAACCTATTCTCCTTGTTCATCCTGGACTTTAATTTGTGTCTGTTTTGTCAGTTTTCAAGGAAAAAGTTTCTTTCTTTCTTGAATAAAATAAAAGCACTTTGTCTTAAAATAAAACAGATTTTTAGGTTCAATCCAAATTTCTCATAACATCATTTCTAGAAGTTTTTCCCTTGATCATACTCTTCCTTCCAAGATAAACGTATCATTGAGAGTCCCCACAAAAAAAATCTGCTTCACCATTTAAACTATTACATAACATTTAACAAACATGCCTATGTAATTTCACCAGCTCAAATACAAAAGGGTTTTAATTTGTGTGTTGCGATTTGACAAATTGGCATAGTTAAAAGGAAAGAAGCAAGCCTAAATGTTATCTGTTGCTTTTTGTAGTCAGTGCACATTGAAGTAAAATTGATAGCAATAATGAATGAGCCTTTTGAAGAACTAAGTGTAAACATTCAACTACCAAAATGAAAGTTAATAAGCATCAGGAGCATGAATATAGAATCTCTTTATTATGAAAGCTGAAGTCATCATGCCTGAGATCTATTTTAACAGGAGCTAGATATATAAGGCAAGGAAAACTGGATAAAGGCACTGCAGTTTCTATGGTGTTGGTTTCTTTAATAGCACTGAAAAATATTTTTCATTTTCTGTTGTGGTTGGATGCTTTTCACCTCTTTTATAGTTGGTTTGTTGCATACTGCAGAAATTCTCCTGTACTCTTTTTACATTGAGCTATTGTTGCTTAATCTGTCTTTGTCTTGTTCTAATCTGGTAGGAAAATGTGCAAATCGACTGCTTGCGTCATCAGGTTTACCCCTCATTGCAAGGCAAATGAAGGTGCTGGAAGATGCTAAATTTGCTTACAGTATTGCTAGTCAAATTATGCGCTTGACTATCCATTCCTTTCAGTTGTAATTGTTTTTTTTCTTGGTGCAGAGGCTCGGACTTAGTTCCATTTGGGCTCTTCTTGCAGCATTCAGAGATCCTTTACCGATTCCTACGACTGGAATTACTTTGCCTTTTGAAGGAGCTTTTGTGAAAGGAGTTGAGTCCATCTCATGGATGTCTGACAACTCAAAGAAACTGTTATCTTCTCATGGCAATGGGCCACATTGTTGGACATTTCTGAGCACAGCGGCCTTTGGAAAACAAAACAAAGTTCCACAAGTTAGTTATTTTTCTTCAGCACAGTTGCACTTCTATTCTCCTAAATTAAATTGCATCTCATACGTCATTTGGAAAAGTACAGAATGATATTATCATTCTTTCTTCCATTTATTCTGAGATTTTTCTATCAATTTCTCTTGGCCTTCGCCACAGAAATGGTAACTAAGTAATTTAGTTGGTTCTAGGAGAGAAGTTTACATTTGAATTGTAGGTGATGGCAATTACGGAACCTTATTTGTTTCTTATTGGCATACTGTTACAGCTTTGTGAGAGATGACAATTACGGAACCTTATTTGTTCCTTATCCGTTGGCATACTGTTACAGATTTGTGGGAGTTAAAAACTTCTTTTTAGGGATTGGTTTCTCATACATATGCAGTTTTAAAATTCTGTCAGGAAAGCATTCCGAATGCTACGGCTGAAAAGGTTAAGGAAGCTATGCTTGCTGGTGTCGAGTGTGCTCTTGGAATTCCTAAAAGCTCACTCCAGAAACCTACTTTTACTCGATTGCAGTTATGGTAAGACTTGATTCTAACTTTTCTATGCAATATCTTCTGTGAATTTTCATTCTCAATGCTTCTGCAACAATCAGAGTATCTTGCTTCACGTTGAAGGACGGATAGCTAAATTTAAAAAACTGTATAATATCTGTTGTAACCTTGCTGCCCCACCCCTAACTTGTTGATGTTCACTTGCAAAAATCAGTCACTTCGCAAATGCTATTTGTTTCATGATAAAGCACTCCCTGTTGCAGAATCCTACAGAAGCTATTGGATATACATTCTGCTTCAATTGCACATATTGTTTTCATCTGTTGTATATGAATTACAGTTGAATTTTCCTATTGATCTCATGACTTGCCTGATCATTTTATTCCTCAAGTTATGGTAGAACACATTTTTTTACTCCTCTAATCAGGAGAGAGTTGCAGACATTATTTAGCAGGCTTTGAATACATCTGCTCACCTACTGCAAATCTTGTTAATGAATGCCCATTAATCACCAATTTATATGAATTGGAACGTTGCTGCAATCAAATGGCTCAGATCTTTGACTTGAAACAGCTCCTAAAACTTGGCAATGGTTCAGTTTGAACTCAAGTTGAAGTGCTTAGGCCTAAACTTCTAGAACCTGGTGTGGCCTAATGGAGTCCTTTATTTGTTCTAACCTTTTGTTCTTGTGCCATGTGTATTGCTTGTTTTCAGAAATGATATATGTCTCCATTTACCGTCATTGAACTTCAGGTATGCATATACCAAAAAAAATAAAAATAAAATGATGCTGCTCATAGAGACTTTGTAGGGAATTTACCAGAACCATTTTATGGCATCAGTTAGGAAAAATGGAACTAATAAATAGATAAATGTTGGGTATCATAAAACCTTCTAAATACTACTTTCAAATTTGGAAGTGTGCCGCTAGTGAATAGAGTAAAACTCCACACCTCTCTAAAGTTGGTGCACAAATCGCTTTTCATGGCTTACGTGAAATTTGAACTTGTAGGAGCAACGGTTAACTGCTGTAACGCTGTTCTAGGAATGATTTCTTATAGACAACATATCTATGTCATGCACCTTTTAAGTGATAGTGAACGATCTTTATGAAATTTTACTAACAAATGGCTGGTCTAAGGAGTACTTGTGCCATTTCAAATGCTGAAATAGGCAGATCCTCTTCTCATTTTTATTTAACTTTCAGGGGTGCAGCTCTTCCTACGAATTCTCCAAATGTTCCATGTATATTTGATCCTCATGGAAGGGCAGGCATTTGTGGTGACTGGCTGTTGGGTTCTAGCATGGAAGCTGCAGCTTTAAGTGGCATGGCTCTTGCTGATCAGGCAAGCTTTCAATTTTACCCCACTTCTCCCTTTATATTTGTACGTAAAAATGACAAATATCTAGATTGGCTCCCAGTATTGGATTTTTCTGTTATTTAGGCATCCTTGCATAATTTGTCGGCTGAAACAACCTACTATTAATTTTTAACTGCTTGAATTACTGTTTTCTTTTAATTTAGATTGCGGATTACTTTCAAAATGGTTGGATGCGGCCAGACGAGTTTGCTGTTGGTTTAGGCAGTGAATTCCAACCGCTTAAAGGACATGATATTGGACAATTTCCGGGATTGCAGTCTGAGGAACAAGTAAATGATGCCCAGGCTATTCAGCTTATCTTATGACCAAAATGCTAGTAGCAATTCGGTGTGTGCCACAAGAGCTGTACCGGATGGAGGCAAACTGTTAATGCTAGACATGGCCACAAAATATCATGTGTCAAGGTTGACCAGTGTGACGGTTGGAGATAAGCTTCATCATAAAGAGCAAAACTGCTCAAAAAAGAATAGGGGGCATAGATTTTGCCTTATGGTTTTGGCCTGAAGCGTCACCTTGATGCATATAGTGGCATAGAAGTGGAATGGTGCTACCTAGATTTCAGTAGATTTTATTTTTTTAATATAGTTTGATGTCAATTTTTAGGTCCCCAGGGCATAAGCATCACCGTTTCTCCACTTAGCGGTAGAATATTAAAAGCTAGAATGCCAATCACCATATAGGCGTTTGTTCTGTAACCCAAACAAATTTATTGATTCACAACAAGAAATCAGTTCATTCTTCAAGATGATATCTGCCCTCTCAAGTGGTACATGGGTGCCTAATCCAATCAAGAAATGATACAAGAATCACAATAAACTTAAGCTTCCGAGCTTTCACAATCCCTGCTGCTTATTGACAGTGGTCACAGTTCTCAACATAGAAGCCAGAACTTCAAACTACAAACTGAACAAAATAGTAAACGATAACAAAAGCTATTTTTTTTCCTTCATAAATGCAAAAGCAATCCTTCTGCTTTGCTCAAAATTGCCAAGTATGTTAAACTAATCTAGAACAGAAGCAACACTAGTTTCAGAGAAGTGAGGACCATTATTTTCTCGTCATAATCCTCTAACCAAGTTTTGAAGAATAGGAAGCTGAAAATTTAATTAACCACGTCGAGGACTAGTTTGCGTGATTTGAAAACCGACCATTTCAAGCGCCTGTAGTATCCAGCTTGAAGGAGTGCGAGGGACAGTACAAATATCCACTTGAATCCCATCTGAAACATGATATATGTAAGATGACAGCTACATGTAATGACTTTTGAAATCAGCATAAAATTGAAACCGACTTACCAGCTTTCTTTCTTCCATCTCTGGCTCCGCAGCCCACGACAAAAATGTCACCACATCTTTCCCCATCTAATGTTATAAAGCAACAATTAGTGCACAACAAAGAGACAGGAAGTGAACACTACCAACAAAGAAGACAAAAGAAGAAGCCAACCTGGGATTCAGTTGCTGGAGTACTGTCCTCATACTCGACTGCACCATCAATAAGCATTTTGGGCATAGCAATAGCACCACCCGGAAAGTAAGCGTTATAATGCAATCCTTCTCGAATCTACATCCACCACAGCAAGTCAAATATTAGTGTCAACGTAAGAGTCATACAAGCTCGAAAGAGAGAAGCTCCGCAGAGAAAAAATCAGCAAGCATACAGGCAGTAGTCTAAAGAGTTAATCAAATTATGTACTCCATCTGTTATCTCTCCCATCATACAAGTCCCTAAAGTGTCCCCATGATCATTAAATCATGAATAGACGAAAGTAAGATCCAAAAGAAAACAACACATTCCGTATCTGCTGAGGAACACGACCCCGACAATCACAGGCAGCTCATGACTTGAACCAATTAGCTGACAATAAGAGATCGCCATGTTCTGATTTAGCCATTTGTACATCATCATACGGCTGGCTAAAACACAACCATTCTGTTTCTTTCTATAGGCAAAATATTCTATGCTTCAGATTAGTTGGACCATATCCAGAATGATATCGGGTTAAACAAAATAGATACCACCTGAATGTATTTGTAGAACTCGTGAAGTAAACACCTAGTCTAGATAGAAATTCAAAGCCTAGTCTAGAGGGAGGATAATATTACTTAGAACAATATATGCAATTCATCATTAGGATTACTTGTATTGAAGGTTTTCCATTTCAATCCACCCAGCTAATATAATAAAATGCACGTAAAGGCGGCAGCACAAGTCACAACTGTAATCTGTAACATCAAGTCGGGCACGAAGGATAAACGATCTCATACTTAAGGCTGGTAGAAAACAAGGCTGATTTATTATTAATATGACTATTAAGGAATCTTCAACTTAAAAACAGTTGCTAAAATTCATGCAAACTGGTATCCTTAGTAAATAACTCGTGTCCCACCCAACACTTTGGCATGGATGTTGGAGGCAATAGAGAACAATTACACTCATGGAATTCTCAATTATAACTAGAAGTACTTATGTGAAAATCTAGCACTATAGAACAGGGAGGTCAAGCAGGGAAGTTGAAAGAGAAATAGCTTTTCCACTGAATAGACAGCGTGAACCATCTACTTTATATGGTTATGCATGTCAGGAATGACACTGAAACAACAATTAGTGGTCATGAATAAAAGAAGCTATTATGTCAATCTTTACCAGACACTTTACTGCATACATTAAGGTTAAAAAAATATAGTTCATTAAATGTTTTCGTAAACATGTCAAAAACTCATCAACTTTTCTGTCTGCTTCCTCTCACAGAAAAGTAGATCATACAAATCGGTCAATTTCAATCATGGTCCATAGGCATCCTTTAAACAAACACATGCAGTAAGGAAAACCAGTAGCAAGTACAAATCTGGTCCTAAATTTTAGGTCAGAACACAAGATTGAGAACTCCCTTTTCAGCAGTACAGCATAAGAATTTACATGATTTGAACTTATTTTGCCTGATACCATTGGCCCCTTATCTTTACCAAGACCTATGTTGTTCTTTAACCTTTTTAAGTTCATCACTGAGTCCTAAATTTTTCTTTTCCTTAAATCAGGCCAATCAGGCAACAAATTACCGTTTCCAAGACCTTCATTTGGACTAAATAAATACAAGCTATAAGTTTTTGGGACTTAATATAAAACAAAGAAGAAAAGAGAATAGAAAAAGGACAAATAGGATCGATAACCGGTTCAATACCTTCTTGCAGCAATCCAGACTTCTATATGTAATATGTGTACTTAAGAGAATAATTGGTCAAATTTTAACGTGTGGTTTATTCCCCTAATTAATGAATCAATTTTCACACAAAATATTGGAGCAAAAGAAAATTCAAAAGCAGAAATATAGAGGGGCATACATTTTGTTCCACTACAAATTCTAAAATCTATGGCTTTTGGCTTATTCATCTTTGAATAAAATGAATCAAAACAATATTGGAAACAACAAACAATGAGTCAATGAACTGTTCCAAAGTATCTCCATGTCAAGAGAGGCAATAAATCAGATCATATACGGCCTTAAAAGAACAATTAAGAGTTAATTATCCATTATGTGACTTACAGAAATGCCAGCAGGAGGATCACGGTAGCCAGTTAAAAGGGCAAAGACATAATTTTGACCATTGTGACGAGCCTAGAAGGAAAAGATGAATTAGATACTATAGACACAAACGGGAGAAAATAAAAAAAATTGAATCCCAAATGACAAATATACCTTGGTAATGAGACTCAAGTCCGGAGGATAAGCACCTCCATTAGCGAATCTGGCTGCTGCTTCATTAGCATATGGCTGTGGAAAACGGTCACTCAGTTTCCCAGGGCGAGTAAACATCTCACCCTCATCATTAGGTCCATCAGTCACCTCGATCTCAGCAGCCATTGCTTTTACTTCATCCTCAGTATATGCAACACCCACTAAGTCACGATACGACACAAGAGACATTGAATGGCAGGATGCACATACTTGCTGATACACCTGATGCCCACGGCGGATCCTGTTTGTAGAAACTCATCAAAATATTATAGAGCTACAAATATATCAATCAAAAGCAATAAATATAATAAATGAGCAGAAACTTTGCTTTTTCATGTCTACTTTTCTTTGATTTAAACAGACTTTCAAAATACATGTTGAAAACAACCAATATTCAAAAAAAGAAAAGGAAAGAAAGGAACATAGATAAAACCTTTTCAGATTTGACGAAATGGGAATTCAGAATCACACTACCTCCCCAACCCCCCAACCCTTAATGTCGAATTTAACAAGACCTGAAAGTGGTTAATTTCAGGTCATGGTATGCAAAATATTTCATGTATCGCACAGATCCATAGCAAGCTGATTCAGAGAGGAAAGCATGGGAAGAAAACTGAGAATGTCAATTTTTACAAGATTCTAATCCAGTACAAAACAATCAAAAATACATCATTAACATCAATAAAAGGAAACAAAGACATCACAAAAATTTATTGATGGGGACAAGGAATGGTAGAAGAACCCTATCAGTAGGTTCTTCCATATTTATGCCCAGGATCATCATGATCCAAGGAAGGAGCCAAAGTGTTAGGACTTTGGTTAAGTTAATCCTTTATTAAGCAGTAATTTAATTAGTTTATTTCAGTATTAATATTTAGGAAAGGGTATTTAGTATATTAGCTATGCTGCAGGATTTTCTTGGGATAAAAAGGAAAGTAGGTGAGAATCCTAGTTATCTCTGGTTTAGGTTAAGTTTTTAGGTCTATAAATAAGATGTACTCCTTCCAGGAGAGACAGTTTCAGATTAATAAACATTCCTGCGATAAGCTTTGCTTTGCAATAGTTGTGTGACTCAACTAAACCCTTGGTGTGATGCCTAGGAATCCTGCGTTGTGATGCCAAAGGGCCCTAAGAGTGATACTTAGGTTTTCTTGTTCTTTTCCTACCCTTTATCTCCGTTTCCTGTGATTTCTAAGCTCGTTTACCTAAAGATTCTTTAGTTTTCCGCTGCGTATTATTATTTAATCAGCCTAAGTTCTGATTTTCTTAACCACCACGTTTCGTCCTGCGTCAATTTGGTATCAGAGCCGAATTTCCTGGGGTTTTAATACTTTTTTGATCAGATTGGAATTGATTTTCCTGATGAATTCTGTTTTCACAAGGGTTTAGAGATCAACAGCTATGAATCCCCATAGCATAGGTTATCCTAATTTGCCTTGTAGTTCAGAAATCGTTGAGGAAGATGAGCAGGAGTATAACGATGACGAAGAGGAGATGGGCATGGTTGATACTGATGATTTGGAAGAGGTAGAAGACGATGTTGATATGTCCTATCTTTCACTAATTTTGCGAATTTGTAGAGCACCAAAAACAGGAGAAGAAGATTGGAGAAGGACAGGAATCTTTCAGACATTGGTTTATTGTGGGAAAAGTTGTCAAGAAAGTGATTATAGATTGCGGTAGTAGTGCGAATTTGGTTTCTGAATCCACTGTGGAAAGGCTGAATTTAAAAACAGAGCCACATCCATACCCACATAAAGTTGGTTGGATTAATGGCACAACTATTCCTGTGACGAAGTGTTGCTTGGTAGACATCAAAAGAGGTAGGTATGTTGATTCTATATGGTGTGATGTTATTCCCATGAATGCTTCACATATAATCTTTGGAAGACCTTGGTTATATGATCGGGAAGTAAAGAATGATGGTCAAGCCAACACATACTCCTTTAACTTCAATATATGATGAAGCATTGCTCAACTAAGCCAAAAAGGGATCAAGTGGTTCCTGAGGTTTCAGCTGCAGTTAGCGATCTGAAGGTTACTAAGGAGGAGGAAAAAGTTTCTGGTCAGAATTCTACCGAAGCTACAATTGAGTTTGTCCAGAATCAAGTAGAACAAGATAAGAAAAAATATTCTTAGTTGTCCTACAAGATTCTAATCCAGTACAAAACAATCAAAAATACATCATTAACATCAATAAAAGGAAACAAAGACATCACAAAAGTTTACTGATGGGGACAAGGAATGGTAGAAGAACCCTATCGGTAGGTTCTTCCATATTTATGCCCAGGATCATCATGATCCAAGGAAGGAGCCAAAGTGTTAGGACTTTGGTTAAGTTAATCCTTTATTAAGCAGTAATTTAATTAGTTTATTTCAGTATTAATATTTAGGAAAGGGTATTTTAGTATATTAGCTATGCTGCAGGATTTTCTTGGAATAAAAAGGAAATCAGGTGAAATCCTAGTTATCTTTGGTTTAGGTTAAGTTTTTAGGTCTATAAATAAGATGTACTCCTTCCAGGAGAGACAGTTTCAGATTAATAAAAATTCCTGCGATAAGCTTTGCTTTGCAATAGTTGTGTGACTCAACTAAACCCTTGGTGTGATGCCTAGGAATCCTGCGGTGTGATGCCAAAGGGCCCTAAGAGTGATTCTTAGGTTTTCTTCTTCTTTTCCTACCCTTTATCTCCGTTTCCTGTGATTTCTAAGCTCGTTTACCTAAAGATTCTTTAGTTTTCCGCTGCGTGTTATTATTTAATCAGCCTAAGTTCTGATTTTCTAAACCACCACGTTTTGTCCTGCGTCATTTACTTTGATGAATGTTTAATGAATGAAGCACCTATAGATAAGACTCCTAGAAGAAAACAAAGACCAATTGGTACGATGACAAAAAAAATTCACTACAAAAACCAAACTAGATACTTTCATACACATTAGATTGATGCATTTTACATCACTTCTATATGATTTTTCTGATGTCCATTATGCCATGTCATGGATTTCAACAACTTCACACTTAAGTAAAAATAAAACCATGGATATCCATTGTGTTAAGAATAAAATTGCCATAGCTAATTTGGAAAACAATGAATAAAATGTAAAAAGGGCAAGGATGGACTTCCAATGTAGCTGCTTATACTTAAGAAAATCTGAAAAGGGCTTAGTTAACAATTAATCCAATCTAATCCAAAGTGGATGCATAGAGAGGGATATGATGAAAAGATGAAATCCAACAGAACGTCAAGCTTATATAAAAAACCAACTAGATGAAAAATCCATCAAGACAGAGCACGATGGAGGTAGCTAGATGTGACTATTTATTCTAAAGTGCACAAGGAGAAAAAGAAATCCAAATGTAATATGTAGTCAGAAGGATGGCTTTTTGTAGAGCGATTGCACCTATACTTCTTCGCTAGATTAGCAGTAAAGATCCCGTAGTAAACTACCAGGGATGCAGGATGCAATATATCTGATTATTAACACCCTGTTTAGAATAGATGATACACAAAACATTTCATACGATTTCCATGTAACTTCAAAAAGCTTTCAATACACACGTTACCAAAAGGTGGAGACCGAAGGAAGCAGAGAAGAACATCAGAAATCATCAACAGTTGCTATATATGACAATGACACAATGTCTAATGGTCTCTAGGAACTCAATGATCAGAACAGTGCAGTGATGCTAAACTGCATATAACTAAAACAAGGGTGTGCAGTCCATTCTACCTTAAATTAGAGTCTCATTGAAATGCAAACACAGACAAGAAAAACAAGCAAACCAACAAACAGCACCTAGTGCGCCTATTGCCTACAGAGCATTTCTTCTTCCACCCTTTCACTTGACATATATTACTAAAAAGAAAATAAAAAAAATAAAAAAATAAAAAAAGCCAAAGGTTCAAGATGCAACTCAGATGGCACAAGTGATAGTTCGGGTAGAATTTTTCCTTTCCGAAACAGCTTCAAATTGCTTAGGAATCTCCTAAGGGGCTTTTCTGTAGCACCAGCCAAGCACAAACAGACAAGAACAAAAATACCACAGTTTCCAGCATAAGATTCTTATTTTAGAATATTCCAATACACCTAGCCTGTAATTAGAAAAATCCATAAACATATCTAGAAAGGCCTAAGCCAACACCTAACTCCTGATAACAATGCTATTGTAATGAGACAGCAACTATAAATGGTCTAAATGTGAGAAAAAGGACAGACCAGCAGAGACATTTGACAATAAAAGAAAAAAAAATTTTTTTTAAAAGTATGCACTTACGAGGCATGATCATATGAACTGAGAACACCACTATGAGGCCAGGGATAGCTTGGGGCAGCCAAACCATGTTCAGCCTCATCGGCAGATGCAATAGTTGTGAAACCAAGAAGCCCGGTTACACCAGCACCCAGTAGTGCCAATGCTCTGAGTGACTTCATGGTAGGAGAACCCCTTTGCTCAGAACCATTCTTCGGCAAAGCTGGAGAGGTCTACAGGAAGAAAAAATTTCAGTAAATCAGATTACCCCTACTGCAGAATGATTACACTTGAATAGCTTAATTTATTCTTCCCATTATTAACCCAAAAACTGAAGAGAACCAACCGGTTATACCCGTACAAAAACAGTAAATAACAACAAAACAGAACGACGAAGAGAGGAGGAAAATTCATTTCTTGAAGGGAACATATATTTCAATTCAAGGCATCATGATCAATCAACTTCATTCACAATCGGCTGCCCAAAAAAACCCAAAATCAACGAAGAATAGAGAATGTTAAAGATAAATGGCCGAAATGCTCGAAGAAGTAGTAGATGAATTTACTAAGAGATCTGCGAAACCTATACCATCAATAATCGGTTCACAAATTTCGCTTTTGGTTCCACCACCAAATTTTCCCAGATTTTTAACGCCACCTTGCTGGTCTTTGAAGTCGCCATGGCTGCCCGGAATGCTGCCGTTGAGGAGGTCCGATGAAAGAAGAGGTAAAGAGGGAATGATTATATTGACTGAAAGAATGAGAGAGAACGGAGACTAAGAGGGATAGGGGGCGTTTGGTTCAAATCCCTCAATGGAATTGGAAATGAAAATGAAATGCCATTATTTTTTCATGGTTATTTATTACTAGTAGTAATATAATGTTACAATTGTCACTGTATTTTAAAAATACAGTATTAAGTTGATGCTTAGATTAAAAAAAAGGCTCCATTTAGACAAGAGTTTTGAAAAATTGTTCAGAAAAGTTTGTTTGAAACAAAAATTGAAAAACTAATTTTTGGAAAATAATGCATTTGGACAAGAATTTTTCAAAACCCTTTTACGAGTTAAAAAATATGAAAAAGCCATTTGGATTAGTCTTTTTCAAAACTAAGTTTTTGTTGAAAAAATAATACTATTTCGTATACATAATAGTTAAACAATATATACATTGATTTTGATGTATAAATTTCAATACAATTTTTAATTCCAAAAATATTAACAATAGATCTTAATAGTAAGATCTCGTTGCAAGGATTAATTTGATATATAGCACGTTGTGTAATTATTTATATATTAAAAGATATAATCATCTGAAAAATAGAAAAAAACTGAAAATAAATAAAAATTAAAAAGAAAAGTGGGGCCGACAACAGAGTGAGCAGTGAGGAAGAGATGGGAAGGGTAGGGAAAAGGGACCGCGTCGCTCGTGTAATGCACCTCTTTTTTTTTTAGTCTTGTTAATGATAGTCATGACCCGATTTTTTATAAACTGCTTTCGACCCGGATTGACCCGCGAACGGAGCTAAAAAGACTGTTCCAAAAAATTAAAACATACCCCCTACCTATTTTTTAAAAAGTCTATTTCAAACTTTCTTTTTTGCAATTGATATTTAGAAAAGATTTACTAGAGGTGGGAGGGTTGGGTGGGGTGGTTAGGGGATTAGGATGGGGGATGATTATTACTGGGAGGTCGAGGGTTCGATTCTCACTGGGACCATCTAATTTTTATATTTTTTTTTAAAAAAAAAGACTTACTAAAGAGCTCCCCAAATCAGTGAAAGTGGGCAAAAAAGAGAAGAAGCATGATCAAATATTCACATATGAGCATGTGCGGGAATATTATTTGAAATGCTGTAAAATTGGGCATAAAAAAAAGGATTGTCGGGCTGGAATTGCGAAGCCGGTGGAAAAGAAAAACAAATCCTTATCCCAAAAAACCCAGAATCGGCCAAAGGAGATTACGACGGCCACTGGAGTTGCTGCGAAATCGCAAGGAGGAGTTTCGCGGCCTCCACCTTCATCGCAAGTCGCGTAGTCCAAGCAAAAGTCGCAGGGTGTTATGGTTAACTTGAAGGTGCAGGGTGCAACGAAGAACCCTAAGTTGAACCCTGTGGAAAATCGTAAATCTACTACGACCCAGGAGACGGTGGTTGCTGTTGATATAGAAGCTTCGACTTCAGGGCTTTCCCAGTGTGAGAAAGATGCTATCCCGGTGGATGTCTCAGCACCGGTGGAGAAGGATAATACTCCATCGACAGTAGCTGCGCCTTCTGCTGAACATGAAGCTACGCTTGCAAACCCTAAGATGGTGGGTGCTAATCGATTTTCTGTTCTGGCTTCGGTTGTGGAGATTGAAGATGAACTTAGCTCTGATGAGGAACATGTAGAGAATGTTTTTGTGGAAGAGTCGCCAAGGCAATCATCGAAAGACCTCATCCGCGCTTTGGTGTTGGTTAATCATGCTAAGAAACCGGGGATGTTATCAGATGACAATGCCATCGGTCTTCGAAGCTCTGTGATGGAGGAAGCTGCTAATGAGGATGTGGTTTGGTCAGAGGGTGAGAAAGAGGAAGCTGTGATCATGGGTGAAATTCTTGTTGAGAATACAGTTTCAAAAAAAAGGGTTCGAAAATCTAAAGCTGAGCGAGCTGCCATGAAGGAGGGGACTATCCTCCGGCGGTCTGCCCGGCTTAACTAGGTTTTTTCTCCAATATTTTTATCCAATGATTAGTCACTTATTTTGGAATATTCGAGGTATAAAGAGTCCGGAGTCGCAAAGGCGGTTAAGGTCTCTACTTCGGATGTATAACGTTTCTTTGCTTTTTATACTAGAGCCTATGCTTCGTGTTTCTAATCTTGATGAAATAAGGAGGTTTTTTTCATTTTGATGTGACATTTACTTCAAGTAACAGTAAAATTTGGGTTTTTGGAAAAAATGATCTTGCTATTGATTTGTTAGAGAATGGTACGCTAGTACTTCATTTCCTGGTCAAGCATATTTCGACAACCACTACTTATTTTCTCTCAGCGGTCTATGCCAAGTCCACTCGGACTGACCGTTGTGCTCTTTGGGAGAATCTTGTGTCTTTCATGCAGAATCATCCAGCTTCTACATGGATTATAGGTGGTGACTTTAATGTTATTCGCCATTTGGATGAATATTCGGGTGTTTCTGTTCAAGATCACGGTGCTATAGAAGATTTTAATGAATGCATTGAGTCTTGTGGATTGATGGAAGCTCATTCTATTGGTGAGGAGTTTACTTAGGGTGGTACGAGGCAAACGGGATGGGTTAGTAAGAAGTTGGATAGAGTTTTGTTCTCGGAAGAATGGCAAGATCTTTTTTCAAATACCTCTGTTAAGAATCTCAATCGGACATCTTCTAATCATTGTCCTATGTTGCTTTCGTTTGCTTTGTAAGGTAATAGCAAACCAAGGTTATTTCGCTTTCAAAATATGTGGTTAAGGAGAGCCGACTTTCTTCAAGTTGTGCAAGAGAGCTGGGAACAACCGGTTGAGGGCTTTGGTATGATGCGCTTCTCTTTAAAAATGCGCAGGATGAAACTTAGGCTCAAAGAGTGGAATAAAAATGTTTTTGGTGATGTCTTTGAGAACTTAAAGGAGGCGGGGGAAAGGGTGTGAGAGATGGAGATTAAATATGATGAGACTAAAGCTGTTCAAGATAGAATTAATCTTCAGCGATCACAAGCCATATTGTTGCGCAAGCTTAAGGAACAAGATGATTTCCTAAGGCAAAAGGTCAAGGTTAAATGGATTAGAGAAGGTGATGCAAACATGTCTTTTTTCGACGCTTCTTTGAAAGAGAGACGCTTAAGGCAAGGAATCCATAAAATCAAGTCGCGGGATGGGGTGGTTTTGACGGAGATGGGGGATATAGAGCATGAAGCGGCTGATTTTTTCCAAGACCTTTTAAAGGAGGAAGGGGGAGCTGAAAACCAAACTCATCAAGATAGACTCTTGGAGCATATTCTGCAAATCTTGGAGGAGGCTGACCATCATTTCTTGCTGCGGCCTATGCTCCTTGATGAGATTAAAGGGGATGTTTTTGACTTGAATGAGGATAGCGCGCCTGGGGTGGATGGTTTTGGTGGTGTTTTCTATAGAAGATGTTGGCATATAATAGCAAATGAGATGATCAAGCGGGCGTTGGGCATCCAAAAAGGTACATTCCCTTTTGTGTACTTAGGTTGTCGTCTGTTTCATGGAAGGAAAAAAGTCTATACATTCCAATTTCTACTTGATGTTTTGATGCTAAGCTTTTGAACTGGAAGAATAAGTTAGTATCACCTGGAGGTCGTTTGATGTTGATAAAGCACGTGCTGTCCTCAATGCCATTGCATATCTTTTCAGCGATTCCGCCTCCTAAGATAGTAATTCAGAGCTTAGAGAAAAGATGCCAAAAATTCCTTTGGGAGGGAACAATGATGAATGAAGAAGACATTGGCGCTCTTGGAGTAGAATAACATTTCCGGTTTGTGAAAATGGTCTTGGATTGAGAAGCTTCCATGATGTCATTGAGGCGCTAACGACTAAATTTTGGTGGAAGGTGAAGAATAAAAAAGGCATTTGGAGCTCGTTCTTGCTCTCTTTGTCAGCCTCAACTAAGGAAAAGACATCTTGGTCGCGTATTAGGAAGATTGAGCCTAAGGTGGCACCTCTGTGTAAGGTAATTGTTAGAAGTGGGGACAAATCTTTTTGGTTTGACAATTGGTCTCATTGTGGTATATTGAAAAATCATTGCCTTCGCTAGCTCCCTTTGCCAACTCTTACAATTAGAGAATTTTTCTTGAGAAGGAATTTTTTTTAGAGGAGTTCCGGGAAAGTCTTGAAGCGCCGGTTATTTCTTTTTTGGAGAGTTTTGATCTTGATTTTTCAGAAGGGGAGGACTTGTTGATATGATAAAGCAATCCATATGGAGAGTTCTCGGTGAAAGCAGCCTATGAAGTACTTCGTAGTCGCCAGAATGTGGAGCCGCTTCTCAAAAATATTTGGAATCGGAAAATCCCTTCTCGCATTTCTTTCTTCTTGTGGAAATTGCGTAATGGGATGCTCCCTTTTCCGGAAGCTTTAAATGTTCTTTCTATTGGAATTAATGCCTCCATTTGTGGTTTTTGTAAACAGGATGCGGAGAGCATGAGCCATTGCTTTTATGGTTGTGGCTTTGTCACATTGTCTTGAAGGCCCAAATATAGGCCCACATGTGGTTCCACCTTAAAACCTATTGGTAATAAAGTGGAACCACATGTAGGCCTATATTTGGGCCTTCAAGATGGTATCAGAGCGGGTTTTATCTGCGGACCTGTGTGACTTGTGGGACGGGCTTTGACTAGCCCGACATTATATCCGAGGTCTGATTTCGTTACCCATTTGGGCCTTCTTCTACTTCTGCTTATCCAAATCCGGGTCTTCTATATCTACTTCTTCTACTTACCCAGTTATATTTGGGCCTTTACTGATCCGACAGTTTATCCGGTTTGTCCAACCCCTTCGACTTGAGAGGGGGGTGTTGAGAATATTGAAAATTAAAAATTGCCCAAGTTCCATTGTCCCACATTGGAAACGGTAGACTCTTGAATCCAATATATAACCACATCTATCACTTCCCTTATCACCAATTGGTTTTAAAGTGGAATCACATGTCGGCCTATATTTGGGCATTCAAGAGTTTGGGAGCATTTCTCTTTAATCATGAATGTGGATACAAGGGGAAGCTTAAGCCTTCTTAATATGCTTAAGAAGTGGCGGTGTAGAGGTTCCTTTGGTGCAGCAAAAGGACTCTTATACAAGATTTTGTCAATATTCATTATTTTGGGAGGTTTGGAAGGCGCGCAATAAATTTTACTTTAAAGGTGTTACCCCTAATCTGAATACTGTAATTCATTCCATAACCTCTAATATGCGAGACTTGTTGATTGCACATAATCTTAAGGTTAGTAATAAGATTGAAAGAGTCTTTATCTCTTCAAACTTTGGATTGCATTTATCTTGTTTGGCAAGGAGAATATCTAGGAGATGCAGTTAGCTTCACATCTGTAGTTTGTGAAATCTTATTTGGGTTGCGCAAATGTGAACTTCTTCAGCTTCCTAATATTGTGGTTCAGAAAGATAATAAGATTCTTGATGATTGAAGAGACAAGTTGGATTTCCATGGCAATTAATTATCCAAAAAATACTATTCCGCTTTTCCGTCCACGTACTGTTAAATTTGTTACTGCCAACAGGTTAATTGTTGACTTGTCAAAAGAATACTTTCGTCTTTTAAATAAAATAATTTTAAAAAATAAAAAATTATAGATAATTTTGCTTTTCCAACCGTGCTTAATTTAAATACTACTAATTTCCACTTCTTTATTTTTTCATTTTCTTTATTATTTTCATTTTCTTGAAATAGCACCTGAAAACCTTTTTTTATTATCAACTTAATTTATCCATGTTTACAAGTTACCATTCCAAGTCTCAATTTTTACCAATTACCATCCAAGTCCTAATTTCAAACAATTGATTTTTCCCCTTTTTCTGCTACAGAGCCACCACCGTCGGCCCAAAAGCACCAAGCCCCACCACACCAACAAACCAAAATTGCTCAATTTTTTGGCTACATTCCCCCCATGTCTCGTGCTTTATGACACTAACCCACATCACCAGCTCTACACCAAAATCTTCAATCCTCCCCAGCTTATTTTTTTTCCTATTCACCACAAAACTAAAACCCAAATCACCATTGCCACGGTCAAAATCACACATGAATCACTATAAAAAATTAAAAATCCCCACAACCACCAATGCCGCTACCACCACCACACCAAAACCCTAAACGTCAGATCTGATTGAAGTTAAAGATTTCAAGCCTCCACCTTTGCAATAAAACGTCAGATCCGAAATCCTTCGGTGACTCATTTTAAAACTAGATGGTGGTGGGTGGGGGGTGAGAGATGAAGAGAGATGGGAAGAAGAAAGCGGAGGAAGAGAGTGGGGCCGGCGGTGGGGGAAGGTGGTGAGAGATGAAGGGAGGCGGGAAGAAGAAAGGGGTGGAAGAGACAGAGGGCGGCGGATGGGGGGAGGTGGTGAGAGACAAAGGGAAACGGGAAGAAGAAAGGGGAGGAAACAGAGGGGGCGGCGGCGGGGGGAGGTGGTGAGAGATGAAGAGAGACGGGAAGAAGAAAAGGGGTGGCTAGGGGAGGGGGTGTGAGAGATAGAGATTTTTTGGAGAGATGAGAAAATCGAGAGGAAATAAAATTAAAAAAATGATGTAAAAATAATTTTTTTGATTTTTTAAATTATTTTTATTTGAAGACAACAGTATCCTTTTGACAAGTCTACAATTGGCCTATTGACCGTCACTAATTTAACGGTACTTAGACGGAAAAGCGAAAAAGAACAAAAATACAATTTATGGTATTTAATAAAAACAGTTTGAACTTGAGATATATAGTAAAGGCAAAACCCTAACTTATAGTATTTTTTGGATAATTAAATGTTTTCATGGAAACATTTTCTTAAGATGGCTGAGATGATTGGTATTTTGGATAGAAGAATGTGTTCTATTACTCATATTTTTAGGGAAGGTAATGCGGTTACTGACTTTTTAGCAAAAATGGGTGCCTTGGGGGACTTCAAGATTTTTTATTCCTTTACTTCTCTTCCTAGTTTTGTAAAGGGACTTTTGGTTCTTAATCA